TTTTTTCGACAGAGTTTCGGCTCTTGTTGCCCAGGCTGGAGTGCAATGGTACGATCTCGGCTCACTGCAACCTCCACCTCCTGGGTTCAAGCGATTCTCCTGCCTCAGCCTCCTGAGGAGCTGGGATTACAGGCGCTCGGCACCATGCCCAGCTAATATTTTATATTTTAGTAGAGACGGGTTCACCACGTGATCCAGGCTGGTCTTGAACTCCTGACCTCAGGTGATCCACCCCCCTCGGTCTCCCAAAGTGCTGGGATTACAGGCGTGAGCCACCGTGCCTGGCACAACTAATTTTTTTTTTTTTTTTTCGGAATTCAGATTTATTGATTTCCATCGTATTGAGTTTAAAAATGGTATGAAGCTGACTACAAGAAAGGAACTGGTCATTTTAAGTTAAAATTAAGCTAATGGTGAAAGTACATCACCTCTGGCTTCAGTCACACAATCACCTCAGACTGAATATAGATTTTTGTGAACAAAGTTCCAGAACTCTGAAATCCAGGGATGCTGCAGGCCTCTCCCGGCAATGTCCTTCACTTTGGGTCAGTCTCCTGGCCAGAGGTGAAAGTGCTTTCAAAAATACTGCCATTTCCCCAGCACTTTATTAGTTCTAACAGTTATTTTGTGAATTTGTTTATTAGTTCTAACAATTATTTTGTGGAGGGTTTAGAGTTTTCTAGAGATAAGATTGTGTTATCTGCAAGCAGAGATAATTTTTTTTCTTTCTGATTTGGTTGCCTTTTATTTATTTATATATTTAGGAGATGAAGTCTCACTCTGTTGCCCAGGCTGGAGTTGCACCCTCTGCCTCCAGGGTTCAAGCAATTCTCTCACCTCAGCCTCCTGAATAGCTGGGTCTACAGGCGCGCGCCACCACGCCTGGCTAAGTTTTTGGTTTTTTGTTTGTTTGTTTGTTTGTTTTTTGAGACGGAGTCTCGCTGTGTCCCCCAGGCTGGAGTGCAGTGGCGCCATCTCGGCATGCGAGCTTCGCCTCCCGGGTTCACGCCATTCCCTGCCTCAGCCTCCTGAGTAGCGGGGACTACAGGCGCCCACTACGCGCCCCCGCTAATTTTGTATTTTTAGTAAGAGACGGGGTTCACCGTGGTCTCGATCTCTGACCTTGTGATCCGCCCGCCTCGGCCTCCCAAAGTGCTGGGATTACAGGCGTGAGCCACCGCGCCCGGCCAAGTTTTTGTATTTTTAGTACAGACGGGGTTTCATCATGTTGGCCAGGCTGGTCTTGGAACTCCCGACCTCAAGTGATCAGCCTGCCTCAGCCTCCCAAAGTGCTGGGATTACAGGCGTGAGACACCGCACTTGGCCTGTTGCCTTTGTGCCTAATTGCTCTGGCTAGGACTTCCAGTACTGTGTTGAATAGGAGTGGTGAGAATGGGCATCCTTGCCTTGTTCCTGATCTTAGAGGAGAAGCTTTTAGTTTTTCACTGTTGACTACATGATGTTAGCTGTGGGCTTGTCATATATGGCCTTTTTTTTCCCTAAGCCATTTGCACATACAGAATGAATCAGATTAAAATAAACAACACAAAATATATTTAAATGAGAAACTGAAACATTAAAAATAATATTAGGTGACATTAAAACTGTCATGGAAATAAACTGTATATACAACAAATAAATCAATGATTGTTAACTTTTTTAGACAGTTTGAATATCAGATTAAAATGAATAGCATTATTAGTCAGTAAAAAGAGCATATAAATTATTTTCAAATTCCAAATAAAAATATTTAAAATTTTGAAATTTTGGACCCAAAATTATGTCAGTAATTTCATGAAAGTAGATCTCCAATAGGTCCTATATTCTAGACTCTGTGAAATGACATCAGAAACTGTCAATTAAAGTATAACCCACAAATAATATCTAGCTACATACAAGTTTAATTTTCGATCAGTTTGAATAACTATTGAATTTAAAAGAAAATTGATGCTGAGGTTAATTTACAGAGTCAATGAAATGCCAAGAAGAAAGCATTGAGACTGAAACTGAAGAACCAAATATTGCATAGCAAATACCAGTACTAACTTAACATTTATAGAGAGAAAAATCTATTCTGGCCATGTGTAGCTGCTAATATTTTCACATGTGATTAATAAACTAATCACATTCTACACATCAGTGTACCATACTGTATATTGGGGAGGGGGTGTTTCAAGTAAAGAGGCTCAAGATTTCTCATAAGATGCTGATGTGTGGTAGCAATACATAACTAAAATATTTTACTTATGTGTGCAGTGTGAAAGTTTGTGCATCAGAAGTTACAAAAATCTCCAGAATGCCCAACGGGGCTGAAAGGAAAAATATCAGAACTTTTCAGGAACACAAATGAGTCAAGAAAAGATTAAAAGGCTTTATCAACGTGAGAAGCCAATGGCTGATCACAAGGCAAAATTGATAATATTGTGCCAGGTTAAGTAGAACAAACAAATATACTGATTGAAGACATTTACATGGAAAGATCTCCCAATCATGACAGCTAAATTATAAGTTATGAAGTACACACACACACAAAATAAGCTTCCATAATTTAGAGTAAGAACAAATTGGATGCTACATAAATTAATAATATTGGAATTGTATTTAAAATGTTTAAGTCAATTCAGTGATAAAATAAGAGACAAAAATAATGTTTAAAGAGGAAGAAACTTTAAAATTGAAGAGCATCCATGGAAAGAGATAACTGTAAATTGAATAAATGAGAAATAAAAATCTATAAATTCAATATACATTGTATTGGGAAGCTATTAACTCAGAATAAGCTAATGAGAGAAAGAGTGCACTGGAAGATTAAGGAGAGAAAATCGATGCTAATAAAAGTAAAGTGATATAAAATGTAAATATATTTATGGATCTATAAAGACAAAGATTAGAAGGAATAAAGTATATTCAATTGTTTCACTGAAATATATACAAAGAATAAGACACAAATATAGTTTTAAAAAGAAATACTTTTTTTGTAAAATTAAAAGCCAGAAAAAATTCTCGAATTCAGAAGTACATAGTTTTCAAAAAAAAAGGTAAATACAGGTGATCATTTATACAGAAATAATAGTCAAGCTGTATAACACTAAAAAGAAATAAAAATCTTAAAAGTAGGGAGAAAAAAAACAGAGGTAAGCGACAAATTTGTAGGCACCATCCACACAGCCTTGATAGAAGCCACAACAAGGAGAAGTAAATATTGAGTGTAAGAATTTAATATTTAGTCAAATATCTTTAATAAATAAAAATAAAACATTCTCAAAAGTACGAAGACAGAGAGCTTATATTACCAGAAGGATATTCTTAATATTACACTTCAAAAAGAAGTAAAAATGTTTTCTATATTAAGGCCTGAAAATCAAAATGAAAAAAGAAGACACTTGTAAACATATGGGAATATCTATCCATCATGTATGTTAAACTGAAAAAAAAAAAAACCCACAGAGAATTGGCAGCATTTGTTTCAAAAGTATTTAGACATATTGAAAGTGTAAATCCATACATTTAAGTTAAATTAGATAGCAAGTTCTGTACTACTTAAGTAACTTAACTGGTGACAGAATAATCTGTTTTCAATAAAAATAACTTGTTAAGCTTCTGTCTCACAGTTTGTGTCACACTGATTATCCTTTTATCAGATCTGAGTAGCACCAAAAGACTGACAGTGGCAGTATACGTTGCCCACAAGCCTCTGGACACCCAGGACAACAGGGTCATATGCCCATAGCAAGGTTAAGGTGCATGAGATGATGAAATCGACCCAGTAGATGACCACAAAGAAACTCACCAGCAGCAGGATGGTCTGAGTGGCACTTTTCTCTGGGGAAGGTCTTGGGGAGAGGCTGGTGCTGTGAAAGTATCAGAATTTCTTCTGGTGCCTGAACAAAAGAACCACCCTGTATGCACTTGAAAGCAGCATTGTTCCTATAAGAAAAACATATCTGGAGTAAGAAACAGTCTTCTGATGATGGAGTTCACGGTGGAAAAGTGAACAGTCTTTACTGGTATGCAGAAGATGGCTCAGGGTCACAACGGAAGACGCCACAGTGCACAAGATGAGATTACTACTGAAAAAAAAAACCTGAGAAAATGTGAAAAGAAGAAATGGCAGGTGAAAATGATATATATTTATGGTTAAACCGAGAGCTTCTGGGGCTGATGATTATGGCCTGAAGGACACTCAGGAGGCAGGTGGTGCAGATGGAGAAACTCCTCATCACCTTGTTCAGGTAAAAAAAAAAAAAAATCCTTTACACTTGAAGTCGTTCTGAAAATACAGTAATTCAGACAGACCTGGAGACAACAATGGCACCACAGTAAGGAGGGTCACTGTGGATGAAGGCCAGGTGATAAATGCTCAGGTCTGTGGGCTTAGGCCTGCATTACAGAAGAAGTGTGAAGATGTGGAAGAAAATGAGGAAACTGAGGGTCAAGATTCCAATGCCACCTTGAAAAAAAAAAGGCATTTTTCAATGAAAACATAACTGGAATGTAATCATCTAAATTGCAAAAGAGAAACATATTTTGAATATCTGAAAATAATAGACTTTACATTATAAATGTTATTGTATGTTCAAAATCACTTTTTTATCATAAAATTCTTGATTCTATTGCATAAATTTTCAAAAGTACAGTCAGCATTATTTTTCACGCTATATATATATATATTCTAAGAATATTTGTGTGTGTGTATATATATATATTTTGAGATGGAGTCTCTCTCTGTCGCCCAGGCTGGAGTGCGGTGGCATGATCTCGGCTCACTGCAACCTCCACCTCCCAGATTCAAGCAATTCTCCTACCTCAACCTCCTGAGTAGCTGGGACTAAAGGTGTGCACCACCACGCCTGGCTAATTTTTGTATTTTTGGTAGAGACAAGGTTTCACCATGTTGGCTAGGCTGGTCTCGAACTCCTGACCTCAAGTGAACCACCTACCTTGGCCTCCCAAAGTGCTGGGATTACAGGCATGAGCCACAGTGCCTGGCCGTGTATACATACTTTTTTTTTTTTTTTTTTTGAGACGGAGCTTTACTCTTGTCACCCAGGCTGGAGTGCAATGGTGTGACTTCAGCTCACCACAACCTCTGCCTCCTAGGTTCAAGCAATTCCCCTACCTCAGCCTCCCAAGTATGTGGGATTACGGGCGCCTGCCACCACGCCTGGCTAATTTTTCTATTTTTAGTAGAAATGGGGTTTCACCATGTTGGCCAGGCTGGTCTCAAACTCCTGACCTCAGGTGATCCGCCCACCTTGCCCTCCCAAAGTGCTGGGATTACCAGTGTGAGCCACCACGCCCAACCCAACATAACTTAAAAAATTGAAAACAAAATCTGACTGACTCTCATATCACAGCATTAATTTTCTTAGCCTCTCTTTCACATTTAAGAACTTTTATGATTACCCTAGGCTCACACTTATAATTCAGATAAGATCAGATGCATTCAGGGTGGTATGGCTGTAGACACCAAACTCATAATTCAAATTAATCTCTTTATTTTAGAGTCAACTGATTATCACCCTTGATTTTATCTACAGCCGCTATTCTTCTTTGTCATACACCATAATATATTCCTAGGACCCAGGGGTTAAGACATGGGCACTTTTGTGGGGCATCATTTCATTTATCACAACTCCTATTAATTGTATTTTATTAAAATAATCATGGCTCTGTCCAACTTTTGTTTCCATCCCAGAGAACCCTTATGTAAATATTTTTATCTTAGAAGAAAATTGCAGCCGGGCGCGGTGGCTCACGCCTGTAATCCCAACACTTTGGGAGGCTGAGGTGAGGCTCATTTGAGGTCAGGAGATCAAGGCCAGCCTGGCTAACATAGTGAAACCCTGTCTCTATTAAAAATACAAAAATCAGCCAGGCATATATGGCCTTAGGTAAATTCCATCTATACCTAGTTGATTTAGAGTTTTATCATGAAGTTGCATTGAATTTTTGTGAAATACTCTTTCTGAATCTTTTGAGATGATTGTTATCCTTCATTCTGTTAATGTGGTATATCACATTTATTAATTTGTGTATGTTGAACCATCCTTGCATCTTAGGGATTAATCCCATTTGGTCATGATGTATGATCCTTTTAATGTGCTGTTGGATTTGGTTTGCTAGTATTTTGTTGAGGCTTTTTGCATTTATGTTCATCAGGGATATTGGCTGTAGCGTTCTTTTCTTGTAGTGTCTGACTTTGGTATTAGGGTAATGCTGGCCTTGTAAAATGAATTTGGCAAACACAGGCAACCAAAGCAAAAATGGGCAAACGGGATCACATCAAGTTAAAAAGCTTCTGCACAGCAAAGGAAACAATCCACAAAGTGAAGAGACAACCCAAAGAATGGGAGAAAATATTCGCAACTACCCATCAAGAGATTAATAACCAGAATATATAAGGATCTCAAACAACCCTTGAGGAAAGAATCTAATAATCTGATCAAAAAGTGGGCAAAAGATCTCCATAGACATTTCTTAAAAGAAGACATACAAATGACAAGCAGGCATATGAAAAGTTGCTCAATGTCACTGATCATCAGAGAAATGCAAATCCAAACTACAATGAGATAACAATCTCACCCCAGTTAAAACGGCTTCTATCCTGCCAGATGCGGTGGCTCATACCTGTAATCTCAGCACTTTGGGAGGCCAAGGCGGGTGGATCACGAGGTCAGGAGTTCGAGACCATCCTGGCCAACATGGTGAAACCCCCGACTCTACTAAAAATACAAAAATTAGCCGGGCCTGGTGGCGCGTGCCTGTAATCCCAGCTACTCGGGAAGCTGAGGCAGGAGAATCACTTGAACCCGGTTGGCGGAGGTTGCAGTGAGCTGAGATTGCACCATTGCACTCCAGCCTGGGCAACAGAATGAGACTCAGTCTCAAAAAAAAAAAAAAAAGGCTTCTATCCAAAAAACAGGCAGTAACAAATGCTGGCAAGGATATGGAGAAAAGGGAACCCACGTACACGGTTGGTGGGAATGTACATTAGTACAACCAGTATGGAGAACAGTTTGGAGCTTCCTCAAAAAACTAAAAATAGGGTTATTGTATGATCCAGCAATCCCACTGCTGGCTATATACCCAAAAGAAAGGAAAGGAAATCAGTATATGGAAGAGATATCTGCACTCCTATGTTGCATCACTGTTTCCAATATCTAAGATTTGGAAGCAACCTAAGTGTTCACCAACAGATGAATGGATAAAGAAAATATGGTACTTGTACACAATGGAGTACTATTCAGCCATAAAAAAAGTATGAGATCCTGTCATTTGCAAAAACATAGATGGAGGCTGGGTGCAGTAGCTCACCCCGTCATTGCAGCACTTTGAGAGGCAGAGGCAGGCTGATTACTTGAGTCCTGGAGTTTGAGACCAGCCTGGCCAACATGGCGAAACCCCATCTCTACCAAAAATACAAAAATTAGCTGGGCGTGGTGGTACGCAACTTTAATCCCAGCTACTCAGGAGGCTGAGGCAGGAGAATTGCTTGAACCCAGGAGGCGGAGGTTGCAGTGAGCCTAGATTGTGCCACTGCACTCTAGCCTGGGTGACAGAGCGAGACTATGTCTCAAAAAAATAAATAAATAAATAAAAAGATGGAACTGGAGATCATTGTTAAGTGAAATAAGCCAGGCACAGAAAGACAAACATCGCATGTTCTCACTTATTTGTAGGATCTAAAAATCAAAATGATTGAACTCATGGACACAGAGAGTAGAAGCATGGTTACCAGAGGCTGAGAAGGCTAATAGGGAGATTGGGGGAAGGTGGGGATAGTTAATGGGTACAAAAAAAAATAGAATGAATAAGACCTAGTATTTGATAGCACAACTGGGTAACTATAGTCAACAGTAACTTAGTTGCACATTTTAAAATAACTAAAAGAAGGCCAGGCATGGTGGCTCATGCCTATAATCCCAGCACTTTGGGAGGCTGAGGCAGGCAGATCACTTGAGGTCAGGAGTTCAAGACGAGCCTGGCCAATATGGTGAAACCCTATCTCTACTAAAAATACAAAAATTAGCCAGGCATGGTGGCAGGTGCCTGTAATCCCAGCTACTTAGGAGGCTGAGGCAGGAGAATGCCTTGAACTTGGCAGGCGGAGGTTGCAGTGAGCCGAGATCACGCCACTGCACTCCAGCCTGGGCAACAGAGCGAGACTCTGTCTCAATAAATAAATAGACCAGTTGTGGCGGCTCACGCCTGTAATCCCAGCACTTTGGGAGGCCAAGGCAGGCAGATCACGATGTCAGGAGTCCGAGACCAGCCTGGCCAACACAGTGAAACCCCGTCTCTACTAAAAATACAAAAAATTAGCCAGGCGTGGTGGTGTGCGCCTGTAATCCCAGCTGCTCAGGAGGCTGAGGCAGGAGAATTGCGTGAACCTGGGAGGTGGAAGTTGCAGTGAGCCGAGACTGCGCCATTGCACTCCAGCCTAGGCGACAGTGCGAGACTCCATCTCAAAAAAATAAACGAATAAAATAACTAAAAGAATGTAGTTGTGTTGTTTGTAACCCAAAGGATAAATGCTTGTGGTGATGGATACCCCATTCTCCATGATACAATTATTTTGCATTATGCGTTGCGCATGGCATGCCTGTATCAAAACATCTCATGCACCCGGTAAGTGTGTATACATGTTGTGTACCCACAAAAATGAAAAGTAAAAATAAATAAAGTAAAATGAATCTAGAAGTGTTTCCTCTTCTATTTTTGGAAGAGTTTAAGAAGGATTTATATTATTATTTTTTAATGTTTGGCAGCATTCACCAGTGGAGCCCTCTGGTCATAAAGCAACAGAAAATCTGAACAGACTAACAACGAGTAGGAAGATTGAAGCAGAAATCAAAAACCTCTGGGCACATATTTATAGCTCTATTGAGGCTTAATTTGCATACCATAAAATTCACCCATTGTGTCAATTCAATGATTTTTTAGTAAATTTCTAGAGTCGTCCCAACATCATCACAATCCCATTTTAGAACTTTTCCATCAACTCCAAAATTTCCCTCAAGCCCACTCATGGCGACTCTCCACTTTCTAACCTGTAGCCTCAGGCAACCACTGACCTTTCTGTTTCTATAGATTTGCCTTTTCTGGACATTTTATATAAATGGAGTCATACAGTATGTGGTCTTTTGTATCTGGCTCATCCGTGTGGTGCTGTGTCAGTATTTTGTCCCTTTTACTGCTGATAGTACTCCATTGTATGGCTATATCACATTTTGTTTATCTGCGCACCACT